GCTCTTTCGTACATCGTTGCGCATGACATTCAGAAGCGGTAGAATGCTGCTCCACTGCTTAGGATCTTGAGCCTTGTTTTCTATCCGCCTTGACTCGAATAACGCTCTGAAGCTGACCATGAATGCCATCGCCGTTTCCAGTCCGAGCATCATGCTGAGCTTGATGTCATAGTCCGACACGGGAGCGCCGCGGTCGCCGTGCTTTCGCTCTAGCAATATATCGCGCTCATGCTTCAGCTTGGTGCCGAGTCTGCTGAACCGGCTCCAGCGGTCACGGAGCGCCTGGACCCTATGAGGATTCGCGGCTTCTCTGCTGTCGTCTCTAGTCTGCGGTCGATCTCGGTCTGATGATGGCGGCGCGGGAGTTAGGCTGTGGCCGTCTCCAGGTGTGTTGACCGAGTTGCTTGACGCCACCCTCGACATCGATGTAGCCCCTCCTTTTGATGGAGTTGAGGGCGCGTTTAGCTTGGAGCTCGTGATCTCCGACGTCCGAGGTCGCTTCACCGCTATCGAATCGCCAACATTCTCCGTGCTGGTAATCGGTCGCTTCCGTGCCTGCGGCGGCGGAGGCTCTATGCTCACTGACCGCTCCTTCTTGATGTCTTTCCTTGGGGGCCCCAGGGCTAGTAGCCTCTGCACCGACTTGGTGTACTTTTTGCTGTACTTCAATGTCACCATAAACCTGCGAGGCTTTTCCTTCGGCCGCTCCTTCCCTCTGATCTCCTTTCGGTCATCTTCCTCCTCCTTCACTAGCACGTGTGATCTCTTGCCGTTTGTGGGGGAATCGGGAGGTTGCGTTCTTTGGCTTGTGTCGGAGCCTTTCGTCGGTGTGTTCTTCATCCGGGCCAATTCTTCCTCGAGCAATGGGGGTAGTGTCGGGGAAAGTAGCTCCGGAAGCTTCAAGGGAGATTTCGGTCTCTTGATAGGCGGAGGTGGTTCTGCTCGTGAGGATTTCTGCGGCCGGTTGTGCTCGCCAGGATCGTCTCGTCTCTTCTCTTTCGATCGAGAATCGGATTCGTTCGGTAGGTGTAATGGAGATAGTAACGGCGGAACTGCTGACCTCGAAGACGCCGTATCAGCTCTTGCCCGACCGCTCGAAGAGGGGTTGGGTTTGTTGCCATTGATAGAGTCTCCTCGCGCACGGGATATGGGAGACTTGTTCGCGCCTGAGCCAAAGGCTGTTTTTAAAGCAGACCGCCCGTTTGGTAATGAAGATGAGCTTGTGCCCAACTTCCCGTCTTTTTGTGGCGTCCTGTCTTGTGATGAGTGTATCTCTTTTCTCTTCGGCGTATCGTCTCGAGGTGTCCGAGATCGCTCGTCGAGCGGTGTGCTCGCTTCGGGTCTCGCTCGTTTCTGAGGTCGCAATTCGCCGTCCACATCCGCGATTCTTTTCCTCTTCTCTGGGGTATCATTGCTATCTTGCGCTGCCCGGGATCTTGCGTCAGGTCTGCTCGTTCTAGAATGGGTCAGTCAGCCTCTAGACGTAGAGTACAGTACGTTGGGAGAGACGGGCGCGAGGGGTTTACCTTTCATCGTGGGCGCCGTCGCGCGCCTTATGCGCCTTGACATCCCTTGATGCATCCGGCTCCCGATTTCTGTATGCGTCTGGCCTCTTGGGCTCGCGATCAATCCGACTTTCTACCACGTTCTTCTCCTTTCGCGAGACGTCGGTTTTCGGCGTCGATCCGGAATCGGGAGGAGAATCCGACACCTTCTTCTGTTTGTTCTTGTAATCACTCAGTGACAGCTTCGTCACGTTCTTCCTTTCCATCTTCGCGTTCGAGTCTTTGACGGCTGGTGGGATCGGAGGTTCTTCGCGCATATCATGGTACGCGCGAGTTAGTAGCATTCCGCGATCCGCGTCGGATAACAGCGTCATGTACTGCAGAGCCGGATACTTGAACTCCTCGAAGGTCTTACTGTGATCGGGAGGAACTCGAAAGCGTTGGTCGGGGTTCATGGAAAGAGAATGCGGTCGATCGGGCAGGATGCGCTGGGCCAGCAGTTGGACCTTTTTCGCCGCTGCTTCCATGGTTTGGTGGTGTTTGCATGCCGTGGGGGCATGTAGAAACACGGATCGCAAAATGCGCGGTCGGGAGCGCAAGACAAGAGAGCGGGATGGCGCGGTGCGATGGGTGTGGATGAATTGTGGTTGGATAGCGAGTGTCGGGATTGAGGTTAAACAACAAAGACCCGCGATGGTTGGCAGGCGATGCGAGATCGATGGGTGACGCAGAGGGTGGAATGGGCGCCGGAGTAGAGCACAAAGCTCTCTCCGCAGCCCACGAATGTATTGATTCGAGCCGGCGGCAATATGCGCCGACAATTAGGCAAGCTGGTGTTGTTGACTTGGTTTGGGCGCCGATGAGGATATGTCGTGATAACGTGACGTGGGTGTGCGATGCCGCCCTTATCTGGGGCTACCTAGGTTGATGAGGCGGTCGGAGTTGGGGTGTTTTTTTGAGAGGAATCGAAAGACACGCAAGCAGATGGCGTCAATGAAGCTTGAGGCGATGAGTGCGGCGCTGATAAGATGCGACGATGGCGATCGCGACGCGGGCTATGTGTTGAGCGAGATTGCAGTTGTGCTCGGAGAGTTGGTGCGGTGGTGGCAGTCGGGGTCGTGACCGTGGTCGTAGTCGTGGCAGTTGTGTATGCAATTGCAGCGTCCGAACATCAACCCTTGCAGCAGGCGTAGCGGGAGGTCAAGAGGAGCCGCAGCGCATTTCCCGACGTGGCGTGCTACTGGGGGGTTGATTTGATGGGTTGGGATGGGATGCGAAACGAAAGGAAGCGAAGCCAAGCCAAGCTCACTCGTAGCGACGCGGCGCTCAAAAGTGAGGTGCAGCTGCGTCAATCGAAGACGCGAGTTGAGGTGAGGTTCGGGTCGGTGCGAGGAAGTGTAAGAGCGTCCCTAGCAGAGCAGAGGGAGGAGCCACCTGCGCTTGACAGTGAAGGTAAGGTAAGGTAAGGTAGGTAAGGAAGGTAAGCCAGCAGTTGACACCTCAGTTGCAACCTGCGCCGGATCCAGACGGGGTTGAGGACGGGACGACGTGCCGCAGGTCGATGATACGGGGTGGAACAAGGGTCAAGGTAGAAGATGGTGCTGGAAAGGGTCGAGGTCGCGGATCTTTTGGAGAGACGGTGGACGGGACCTCGCGAGTAGTGTGGATTTTGGACGTGGATGGGAGGTCCAGGACATTGCCCACTCGCTATCCGTACATACCTTAGGGAAGGTACCTTTCGCGTGGCAGGCACTGGACCTCACCTCACCTCAGTGCTCAGCTTACACTGAATGGACTGGGTGGGGGGACTGGCACAATACCTTACTGGACTGCCCAGGCGGATGGTGCAAAGGGGTCTGGGTGGGAGGGGAGAAAAAGGTGGATGCCGAGCCTGACCTGGTACTTCCACTGGTGCGCCCAGTTGGATGGATGGATGGATGGGTTCCAGGTCAAGCCTTCACCATAGGTAGGTACCTTGCCTATCATTCACCGTACCTACCTTAAGGTATGGTAAGCACGTAGTAAGGTATACAAAGTACGTAGTACGACAGGCAACCTAACATGGAAGGCACTCAAAAGTGGGATGGAGGTCAGAATCACGGCAATTCAGGTAGAGACACAATCTAGCAGGGAAGGAACCAGGCAGGATTGGCAGAAGCCAGCGCAGCGCAACTATGGGAAGGCAAGCAAGGCAAGGAGACACACGCTATCTCGCGGGCGAATTCAGGCCAATGACAGGCCCGGAAGGCAACCGCTGGACGCAGATGATGCGAGACGGCCGCTAGGGTGGTGGTGTCAAGTGCGCCAACCAGGACTGGAATTGAAAATGCGACATTCTGGCGATCTGGTTTACCTTGCTTTAAGGTACGTTAAGGTACCTACCCACTTACCTCACCACCTCACCTAGGTGAACCGTGAATTGCCCCCCCGCCAGAGAATTGGGTGCGGCGCGTGCTTGCTCACTGCTCGCTTCCTGAGGGAACGGGATCCCAACTTGAGGCTTGAGCCAACATCCGCACCCAGTCGCGCGGGACAAGATACGAACCTACCTTACAATAAGGTAATCCTAATACCCCTAATTAAAGGGCACTGGAATGATCTGGTCAGGTACCCATGCCAGTCTACGTCTCCGATGCTTATGTCATCACACCGTGAGTCTAAGGCGCTACGCAGCAGGAACAATGGACGCCTGCCTGCCTGCCCTTGCTGGCGGCGGGCTCAGCGACGGAAACCACTGATCGTGCCGCCGACCATGGGGCCACAGAAACTTAAGTAGCTTTCCTTTACGAACCCAACCTAAACCTATCTTACCCAAGTTGCCCATGTAGCTTGGAGGCGCCGCGCAGATCCAACTTCATTCATGGCGTTGTTTAAAGGGGATGGGCGCGGAGAAAAACTCCGATAGTGTCCCGTAGCTCAACATACAGTCCAAGACCTCAGGAAGCCCACAGCTTTGTCGCGATTTAAGGCATGCATTGTCTACTTTAGTCAACTTGTTTGTTTCGCTGTTTGAATGATCTGCAGGTACCGACGAAGGCTGCCTTACCTGTCTGCATCCAGTGTAAGGCACCTTGCTCACCACGCAGACAATGTGCTTCATTGTGGCTTTGCCCGGATCATTCTACACCCCACAGCCGACGCATTCTGAATCTAAGCGGTTTAGAATTTCTCAACAAAGACAACTTAGCGCTGTCACACGTAACGGGTTTCTTAGACAGGCGTTTGCCCTATTGACAAACGTTACATCATCACAGCGGATAATGTAATAACTCAGGTCGTTGAAATATAGGCGTCTGCCATTGGCATAGTCTCTATCTAATCTAGAGATATGTCTACAGGCAAGTTACCAAAGTATGGTAGCTAGCTATGATGATGTCTCTCTTCTGTCCATGTGAAAAGTACAACCTTGGTATCGTAACAGGATCCATTGCGCCGTCTTCCCTGGTATCTTGCTGAACTCAAAATGCGCGATGCATCAACTCCTTTTCTTTCTCCTCAATGCCTTCCATTGGTCACTGCTAGCGGCCCGTATTGAGAGCTCAGTCTCCGTTTCTTATTCGCAGGCTCATCGCCCAACGTCATCTGCCTCTCCAAGAAGAGCAGTCTCTGCTCATAGGCTGTCACCTGCCTGGCCATCTGGTCTACCTTGGGTCCAACTGCGGCTTCCGTAGGATGGTATCTGTCAATGTGCTGCAGAATGGCCTGGTAAAGGCTCTCCGTCGTCAAGTTGTTAATTTGCGCGTCCACATTCATGATGTTATGCTGCACAAAATCCATCCTGTCTTCGGAAGCCTTCACCCTTTCCTCTGTCGTCGCGAATCGTTGCTCAAAGTCGTCCAAGCGCTGGTGATCCGCCCGGAAATCGTATGCTTGGCTTTCCAGTGACTGGAGTCTTTGAGAGTCTCTAGCCTGGCTTTCGCTCGTTAACTTGGCCGACTCAGAGATTGCCTTGATGCTTTGATCGATCATCGACAACTGCTCCTTCAATGCGTCGATGGTAAGCTTGATGGAGGCCGAATCATCGGGTGCACACCTTTTGGCTGCTACATCCGCAGTCTTGGTTGGCTCTGAAGCATCATGTTCCAAACAACGTGGACTCTGCCTCGAGACAGCCTCAAGTACCTTGATCCGTGTATCGTAGTCCTTCAACTTTCCTTCGTATTGATCGACCTTCAAGTCATTAGTTGGGGTCGACAGGCGGCTGTTTTCAGTACTACGACTCGATTTCTGGTCTGATCCTTTCTCGAGCGTCTTTACGTGAGTCCAGGCAACCGCGTCCGTCCGTAGCGATGGCATTTGGCGCTCAACAACGTCGATTCGCTTCTTTACATCCTCGATCCAGGTACTAAATGTCTTGAAAACAGTGGCGTTCATGGTCGTAAAGGTTCTGACTGCCAGGAACTTGTCGCCGTCTGGTGGACGTGGTATATCCGCAGCACGTTTCTCCATGTTGGACTGGAACTGAGTCATTTCTGACTTTAATTGCTGAGCCTCTGTCTTGATGTATTCGATGACAGATTCAATTTTCTCAACATTTTTCTTGACATGGTCAGTGTCGGATCTCAACTGCTGGGCTCCTGTCTTCAGGTGCTCAGTGTCAGACTTGATATTGAGAGCGTCTTTCTTAAAGCATTCTGTTTCCGACTTCATTTGAGTTCTGAGGGACTCTACTCCGGACCTCAGTTGGGCAGTCTCGGATTTAAGCTGCTCAGTGCCTGCCTGGATCTCGTTGATGTCGGAACGTTGCTGCTGAATACCTTGTTCAATGTTAGACCGCAACTGCTGGACACTGGATCGAATGACCTCTGCATCCAATCCGAGCATCATGTGTTTTGACTGAAGTGTAGTCACATCATCAGCAGTCTTCTTGACATTCTGTTCCAGTCTTGGCAGCGTTGTCGCAATGGCACCACAACTGTCGCTGATCAGGTCGATATCCATCTCACCGAGCTTGTTGTCGTGCTCAGATACTTGAAGCTTTAAGAACATTATTAGATCTTCGTGCTGGGCCATGAGCGTCTTGATTGCCTTCAGTTCCTCCGATGTAACGCCATTCTCCCTTGGTGGTGCACGAGGCGGCGCGACATCTGGCTTTGGCTCTTGCAGCTGCTTGATGGATGCGTCGTGATCATCGGCCCTGGAACTCAGAGACTGGCAATGGTCCTGAAGCTCTTGAACCTTCTTTTTCAGCGTCTCGTTCTCGATGCCAAGAGCATTTCGCTTATCACTCTCAACTGAGAGGGTTTTACGAAGTTCCTCCATCTGTTTCTGCTGCTTTGCAGCTGTTTCTTTATGTTTGCTCTCGAGCGCATCGAGGCGTGAAGTGAGTCGTGCCTCGAGTCCGTCCGAAGTACTAGGAGCAACGAGGCGACGATCCTTGTCTTTCTGTTGCAGCTCAGTACAAGCTTGAAGCAGAGTAGCAGCAAATGCCTCTGCCGAAGCCTGCCACTGTTGGTCCGCATCCTTCATCTCCTTTCCCAAATGATCTAGGTCTTCGATGTCTTTTTTCTCAAGCTTTCGATGGTAGTCTTTCAGGGAGGGGAATTCGGCATATTTAGCGTGCGATTGGGCATGCTCTTTCTCCCGAGCTTTGGCACGTGCGTCAACTACATCTTTCCGCAACCGAATTGCACCTTGTTCGTTACTTCGCCGAGTAAGCTGTCGTAAAGATGCGGTGATCTTGACCGTTGTTATCGTGTCGTTCGCGGATCGAGGGGTTGGTTGTGCTGAAGATGCTGGTGTCGTCGATAGCACTGGGGGTTTCCATGATGCTGATGCAACGGTTAGTTTCGGCGCCCTGAAGTGAATCATATTCTATTCTTACATTGTTCTGACCCACGGTTAGATCGGGTGTCTATTGACATGCCCGGTCTGCTGTGGACTGGCGAGGAAAACGTTCTTGTGGGTGGGCCACGGGGAGGAGGGATGGTAGCTCGTGAAGCGGTGGTCGACGGTGGCCTGAACAAGTCCGTTTGTGTTCTCAGGTCGCGGTCAAGATCCTTCGTCCTATCTCTGTCCCTGTCCCTTTCCCTTCCCCGGTCCCTTTCTCGGTCCCGGTCTCTATCCCAGCTTCTGTCTCTTTTTTTCTCTCTGGTCCGCCTGTCTGGCGAAGTAGAACGGGATTGTGACATAGATCGTGATGACCGAGACGCTGAACGGGATCGTGATCGCGAACAACGGTAATATCGAGAATCACGACCTAGGCGGTCTCTTTCACCATCCCGGCGATCGTTGTAGTCGTAGCGGCTGCTGTAATGACCATTGTCTTCGGAACGTCGAAAGGATGACGACGACATGGTTCTTCTGGTGGGCGAAGTGTGGACTCTCAATCGAACGTCGATCTGTGTTTGTCGTCTCCTTTGCACGTGAGATCATGTCCAGACCGCATACTCGATCAGTGCGTTGGAAGGATGCGCGTAGGCAGGTCGGCAGGTAGATAGGTAGGTAGGTAGGCAGGTAGGAAAAGTGTTTGCGTGGACGCAGGTGGCAGGCAGGTGAGGCAAGGAACGTAAGGGTCTTTGTTTGCAAGATGCGAGGTGGGGTGAGATGCCCAGAGGCTTAAGAGGGAAACCCTATGCCGGGAAGGAGCCCGTTAACGTCAATTACGTCGGCTCGCCTAGGGGTCTTGTTGGTAATTGGGAAGCTCCGAGGTCGATGTCCAAAAGGAAGGCACAGACAGTGACCGGAGTTGCCACTATCTATTTGAGGGCAAGTCCTATTGCTCAAGTGGTTTTTCTCTTTCTCCTGTTTCCATATATAAATCCCTGTCCCAAAGGACCTCCTTAAGTTGGGCGGTCAGTGCCGTCGCGTGCTGAAATCGCGCCCCACGCAGATCGCGCTTGCTCGGGTTAGGTCGGGTCTGGCTTAATTACACTCGCCTAGCAACCTGGGAAGTGCAGCATTTGGGGAGGGGAGGTGGGTTGGGGAAAGTAATATTCCTTGTAAGTGAGGACGCACCCACGTAAGGCCGTGTACGCAGTACCTAGGTGATGGATCGCACATGGGCTAGAAATACAAGCCTTACCAGAAAGTTTCTCCGGTACCCAAGGTAAGGTTAAGGTAAGCTCAAGTATTCTGCGCAATTTCACGTATGTAGTAAGGTAGGTAGGCGGAACTCCCCAAATCTGGCTTCAGGACTTGAGTGGAGAGCGGATATGGCTGGATGTGATGGAATGATATCGAAGGACCTACAGGGGCCTAGAGACAACTCAGAGAGAAAAAAGCAAACATCAAGTGGCTGCTCCACGCGTCAGACGATATGCAGTGCGTGCAGTTGCTGTAACCCAGCTTACAGAGCTTTAGGTTCCAGGTTTGCCCCCTTTTCACACACTTCCAGGGTATTTGACACTGAGCTGGCCTCACGAGTCACAGGGGCTCGCTGTAGTGTAAAACGGGTTGCACCTTTAATTGGGGGGCCAAGACGTTCTTGGTTTTGGCCTGGGGTGCATCTACTAGACCGTCTGTTAGCGAGGAATGAATCATGGCCGCTGTCATATCCGATGGCCTGGGTAAGGCACGAAGAATACCTAATTACAGTGCTGTGAATGCTTCCAAGCAGAGCTATTTGTACTTCCTTCCCAGTGAAGTATTTTCACCAACACGTCTGCTCACCGGAACACTATATTCAAACCTGGACTTACACCGACGATACCTCGCCTATTCTCAGTCGGCTTTCGCGGGTTGTGATATTACTGCATAAGGTAAATTAACCTGGAAGTACGTACCTGACCTGCCCGCACTAGAGATTTCTCAGATGGAAGGAACAATTACCAAGGTGTGGTGAGTGGGGTGAGGTTGTTTGCCGGCAGGGCTCCGAGCTGGCTTTTTCCGGGGGCCAGACAAACACTGATTGATCCATCGCCCAAGAAAGGGTCGACGTTGGGTGGGGGAGGGCGCATTCGAATAAGCAAACATTAATGCTATTGTAGGCGTTAGCGCCATTTCTGAGTTCAGGTTGAACTTGATCTCGTATGTCCCTTGCCATTTTCTACCATCGCCGATGTATTCTATCGACCCTGCACTTTAGCACCGATACTGACCCCTCTCGAGCACTGTCAGAAGACCACGACCAACGGATCATTATGAGCGAATTGTTTATCGCCAAAGGCGCATGGCTAGGAATGCAACAGATATCCGTACAGGATGTCACTGTACTAAGCGAACATCACCATCCCTCGTAGTCGATCGGACCTGTTTCCTGGATGACAAAGAACAAGGCGCCTTGGCTGCTTCTGAAAGCAAGTAACTCGCCTATAAGACAAGATTGCGGTGTACCTAGCTGCACTATCTTGACATCAACAAATATTTGCTTGCCCGCGACAACAATCTAGGTACTGCATTCAGACTCTAGAGCGTGTCGAAGTTCTGCTCGACACATGGCTCATAATAATGAACAATGGTCGCACCCTTACCTGACAGCTGGTCGCAACGGGCTGAGCTGGAGCTATCCTGCCCAAGAACTTGCCTGAGACGTTAGTATATAGAAACAGCTAGAAACTCAACACATGTAGTTCTTTGTCGTAGGCAATAAAGTTAAGTTAGGTGGACCGTACTCTGAAGCTGACATGGAGTGCTTAAGTGCTGGCGTCAAGCTTAGACTGAGGTGGTACGGATACAGTGCCTGTAGCTGGGCAGACTTTCTGACGTCTGGCTTACCTACACAGGCTTGTTCCTGTGGCGCTCAAGCGCTAGCCGCGCCACGCTCAGCCTGTGCAAACTGAGGTAAGCGCGTTCCCAAATTTCTGAACGCGCAAGGCCCAGCTCTTTCAGCCTTGAACGACCATTGACGAACTGTTTTTTGCGCCTCATCCACGAACATCACCTCAAGCCCGTCTCTTCCCATTTGCATCCCTCAATTGCCGAGATTTCAACCTTGCGAAAAGCTTCCCGAAGTCATCGGTAACCCTATTCCAAGATGGCTGCGGTATGCGCTCCTCTTCGTCTGCATTCACGCACTAGTAGCTAACAGGGTGTATAGCCCGTCATGACCGTCTCCGAGAGCAAGGAGCTCAAGGGCCTCAACCTCATCGCGGCTCACTCCCACATTCGTGGCTTGGGCGTTGATGGCACAACGCTGGAGCCCAGAGCGGCATCTCAAGGTCTGGTTGGACAGGAGAAGGCCAGAAAAGCTGCTGCCGTGATCCTGCAGATGATCAAGGAGAGCAAGATTGCTGGAAGAGCTGTGCTGATCGCCGGCCCCCCAAGGTAAGCCTTTTCTTCCACATGTGTCCTTTGAAGACTGTACAACTGACTTTGCATCTCCTCAGCACTGGCAAGACCGCCATTGCCATGGGAATGGCTCAGTCCCTCGGTCCCGATGTCCCCTTCACTTCCCTCGCCTCATCCGAAATCTTCTCCCTCGAAATGTCAAAGACCGAAGCTCTCACACAAGCATTCCGCAAGTCGATTGGTGTTCGCATCAAGGAGGAGAGCGAGATTATGGAGGGCGAGGTCGTCGAGATCCAAATCGACCGAAGCGTTACAGGCGGCGCCAAGCAGGGAAAGCTGACGATCAAGACGACCGACATGGAAGCTGTCTACGATATGGGCGCCAAGATGATTGATGCCATGACCAAGGAGCGCGTCATGGCCGGTGATATCATTTCCATCGACAAGTCTTCGGGCAAGATTACAAAGCTCGGCCGTTCATACGCTCGCTCGCGCGACTACGATGCCATGGGTGTCGACACCAAGTTCCTGCAGTGCCCAGACGGTGAGCTGCAGAAGCGCAAGGAGGTCGTCCACACCGTCACTCTTCACGAGATCGATGTCATCAACTCAAGAACACAGGGCTTCTTGGCTCTGTTCTCTGGAGACACTGGTGAGATCCGCAGCGAGATCAGGGACCAAATCAACACCAAGGTGGGCGAGTGGAAGGAGGAGGGCAAGGCCGAGATTGTTCCTGGTGTGTTGTTCATCGATGAGGTTCACATGCTCGACATTGAGTGCTTCTCATACATCAACCGCGCCCTGGAAGATGATCTCGCACCTATTGTCATCATGGCCAGCAACAGGGGCAACTCCCGCATCCGCGGAACAGACTACCGCAGCCCCCACGGTCTGCCCCTCGACTTCCTGGATCGTGTCGTCATTATCCACACAAACACCTACAGCCCCGAGGAGATCAAGCAGATCATCACCATCAGAGCTCAAGAAGAAGAGGTCGATGTCTCAGCCGACGCTCTGGCATTGCTCACAAAGATTGGCCAGGAGGCGGGCCTGCGCTACGCCAGCAACCTCATCACCACCTCACAGTTGATTTGCGCCAAGCGCAGGGCGAAGCAGGTCGAGATTGCCGACGTTCAGAGGAGCTTCTCGCTCTTCTACGACCCGTCCCGCAGCGTCAAGTTCGTGTCCGAGTCGGAGAAGCGCTTGATTGGCAACGACGGTGCCGTCGACTTTACCGTCACTAATGGCCATGGCGATGCGATGGAGTTGAGTTAAGCGTGTTAAAGGGTCTTCCATGTTGGGCGTTTTTTGGGCAGTAAAATAGGTGGCCACCCCCTGGGACGTATGATAGATTATGTACCATAAATGTTTGAATGGTAGCATCGTGACGATGCCAGGAATGCAAGGCTTTTTTATTCATTCATCCGTATTTGTTACATGGTATACGTTTTCTCCCCCAGATGTGTTCCAGCTGGTGGAACGATTATTCAAACGTCGCAACCCTCGTCCAGGAATCATCGCCAACCGGCCGGAACTCAACGCCCTCACCAAAGTATCCGGCATCCTGCCATGCCTTCATCGTAGGCCCGTCGTACGGCCCTTGTTTCTCTGCATTATCCCGCCCATCCGTCCAACGGAACTCCCACATCCTCGAGGACAGATCGTCATCGGCGTCGTCCTTGGCCGGCTCAACCCACTGCTCGCCCGTCTCCCGCTGCCACTCGCGAACCAGCATCTCCCTCTCCTCGTCGTAAATCTCGGCGTGGTCTCGACTCAGCAGCTTGTCCGCCGCGTCGGTGATGGCCTCAATGGCCTCTTTCCTCTTCTGCTGCTCGGGGCTAAGCTGGTCCTTTTCCTTGTCGACGTCCATGGCCTCCTCGCCGCCGCCGCCCTTGTTCTGCTTCTTGAGTTTCCATTTGGGTATCTTTTTGGTTTTGGGCTGCCCCTTGCCCAATCTCGCCAGGGCCTCGAGGGATGTCTCGCCTCTTTCTAATCTCACGATGAGCGCCTTGAGCAGGTCCGTCGTCAAGATGTCGTCGTTCTCCATTCGTAACCTCCGCGCCTCGGCCTCGCGCTTCTCGTGTGCATCCGCCGCCTTCTTCAGATCCTTTTTACTCAGCCCGTCGAGCCACTTGTCGTGCACGGCGTTCGGGTCCACAGCTTTCCTGATAAAGTTGCCGTCCTCGTCGAAGCGACCCTCCTCTTGCTCATCCTTCATGTTGAACGCCTCGACCTTAGGCGCGTTGCGCTTCAAGCCGCCAAGCCCGACCTCCTCGTCAATACCCTCCTCCTGCATCGCCAGCTCTTTATCTTCTTCGTCGTCGCTGCTCTCCTCGTCGTCTAGGCGGATCTGTCCTCCGCTTTTACTGTGCAGCTCTTGACCCTGGATCTGTGCGTCATCGAGGAAGCGCACAGCCTTGTCCTTCCCCGCCGCCTTGGTCCCTTCCTGCGCCGCCTTGCCTTCCTGCTCTTCGTCATCGTCGTCCGCGGCAAACATGTCGTCGTCCTCGTCGTCATCCTCGTTAACCTTGCCGCCCTTGCCGCCCGCGCCGCTGTCCTTGGCATCGTAATTATCCAGCTGGCCAAAGAAATCCGCATCGCCGTCCTTCCTGCCCTTATGCTTTTCGTTGGCGCGCGACTTGAAGTTGCGCTCGTTGTCCGAGTCGCTGTCGTAGCCGTCCAGGTTCACGGCGCCGCGCTTCGTCGCTCCCCCGCCGCCGCCAATGACGTCGGCATCGAGGATGGCGTCCTCTTCCGGCGCATCGGGGGCCAGGGCGGAGGGGTTGCGGACGTCAAACTTGAGCTTCTTGGAATCGTGACCGTCGTCTGCTTCGGCGTCGTGGTGATGCGTTCGCGCAAAGGTTTCGCCTGCCCTTTTTGGGCGCGCTGCCGAGTGTCTGGAGGCCATGGTTCGGGCTGGCTATGCCTGGGGATATGGTGTGGGTTGTGACAGATGAGGAGTTAAAGTAAGGCGAGGCTGGCTGAGCTTTGCCTTGAAAGAGCTTCTTTCTAGGTGGGCTGGATGCAGCAGCTCTAATTCCAAACGTCCCGTTCTACGTTTCCTGGAATGCATCTGAGAGCTGGGAGCGGATACCTCGAATTCCCTACAAAGTTGCATGGGCATTAAGGTACCGGCTGGGGTATCGGGCATGTCATTTTTTGGTGGAGCCCAGTCGAACTTCCAGCGGGTTTCGTCATTCATCAGTTGCCTTTGCGGCCCCACGTCAACCGCGGGTCCTCCTTCATCACACCTAAAGGCCAAAGCTACCTTCTTTCACCACCTGCAGCAGCCACAACTGCTCTGATTCAAAGAAAGCTGCCCAAGTTAGCTTAACAACTCATCGGGGTCATATCACTTCTCTTTACTTTTTTCTCTCTGCTGCCAAAAAAGATACCTTACTCAACAAATCTCCCCGCTCGATGGTAAGCTAGCTGTCCAAGTCACCTCTTCGCCCCAGCTAATTCTGAGCTTGCAGTATCGCTTCGACCAAAACGAAGCAGACATGTATAACTTTGCCCGCGGTGGCCGCCGGCCGATCGTCCAGCGATTCGACGAATACTACCGATGCTATCCCATGGTCATGGCACCTGGTCCCGAGCGACCCGATCTCAACTACGGTTCCAAGATCTTCCTGCCGCCCTCCGCCCTCGACAAGGTCTCGAAGCTCCACGTACAATGGCCGTTGCTCATGGAGATTATAAATGGCGAGAAGGGAAAGCACTCACACGCCGGTGTGTTGGAGTTCGTCGCGGAGGAGGGCAGAGCATACCTCCCCCACTGGGTTCGTGCTCCTATCCTCTCCTTGGCCCGCGCTGGCCGTAGCGGAGGTGGCGTTGTTAACGTTTGAGACCAGATGATGCAAACCCTCTCGCTAGACGTCGGCGACATGATCCAGATCAAGACAACTTCTCTCGAGCTTGCCAAGCTAGTCAAGCTGCAGCCCCAATCGACCAACTTCCTCGATATCAGCGATCCCAAGGCCGTGCTGGAGAAGGCATTTAGGAACTTCGCCGCACTTACCAAGGGTGACGTTTTCAACTTTGAGTACAACGACGAGATCTACCACGTGGCGGTCCTTGAGGTCAAGCCGGAGACGGACAAGATGGGAGTTTGCCTGATCGAAACCGATGTCGAGGTCGACTTCGCGCCACCAGTTGGCTACGTCGAGCCAGAGAGACAACAGAGAGGCAGCGGAACCAGCACACCCAGAAGCGGCCGCGGTGGCCTCCCGGCCGGCGGTCTGCTTCACAGCCAAGGATCCATGGCCCAGTCCATCAACTACGGCGCCATCGCCCCCGGCACGGCAACGACCAACTCCAAATTCTACGGCGAGGGCCAGAAGCTCAGCAAGAAGGGGAGCAAGGCGTCGACACCCAAGCCCGCGACTCCCGTGGCAGGCGCCTCAGCCAACCCGCCCGCTCTACCCATCCCGCGCCGAAACAACAACGGCCCCATGCCTCTCCGCCTTCCGCCCAACAAGCTCTTCTTCGGCTACGAGATTAAGCCGGTCAAGACCGACGACGATAAGAAGCGCGAGCTAGAGGAGCAGAAGCGGCCGCATTTCGCGGGCCAGGGCCAGACACTCCGGGCCAAGCGCAAGGGCGAGGCCGAGGAGAAGGAAAAGGCTCCCGAGAAGAAGGGCCCTGCGGAGGGACGGAGAGTGGATAGTCGCGGACCTAAGCCTCGCGGCATCGAGTAAGATGGCAATGTGCGGGTGAGAACATATTTGTGATTTGGGATGGATCAAATGGCGTTTGGGGGTATGATAGGTAATTATTCCGGGAGCATGGTTTTAATTACCAGGGCAGCATCGTCTGGGACAGTCAAACGGTGATTAGATTCCCGAAAATGAAGAAATTGAGATTATGTACGAGTGCCGTGCTTGAGACGATCTTCGTAAACGAAATGATGACCGAAGGCAAAGAAGCCAAGGGCACACGACATCAATGTGATCAGTGCCCTGACACTTATCTTGTCCCCACCATCCACGATGACGTTGTCGTAAGAACCGAAGTTAATACAGCACCAGGTCCTCACTCATAAAGCAATCGGTTTACTCAAGGATAGCAGATGATAACTTCCATTTCTGACTAGAAAAGAAAAGCTAGCACAAGAGCAAGCTTGCTTCTGTACGAGCCGGGTGTGAAATCCTCCCTCCGCAAGCAATATCAAAAGGGGCGGTAATCTCAGCCATACCCCGTCAAATCAGTCCGTTGAAACCATTTCTCTCTGCCAGAGATTCCTTGTAAACGATAAGCCACCTGGCCAATCCGGCGAAAAGAAAAAAATCAAACCCAAAAGCCATTTCCCCCCTTTCCAGGTTCCGTCAATCCCAGCCTCCATTATCCCAGAATCCCCCCGTGGTCTCCTTCTCCCCCTCCATTGCCACTCCATATCAATCAACCCAATGGCGGCGGTTGTTTGTTGTGGTGTTGAGAAGAAGAAAAGGTGTCCATGGTGGAATAATAAAGAGATGAAGAAGCCGAGAAACGAACGAAATGCTGATGAGAGAAGAGGGAAAAAGCGAAAAGAAAACCGTTCCTGTTGCCGAAAAAAGTGCCAGTTACTGTCGAACCACCTTGCCGTCAATCCCAGTAGCAAGAATGAAGAAAGAAGGGGGAAAAAAAGACGGCGAACGAAAACCCTTCTTTCCCAAATCTCCCCGCCCATCAATAAAGTCATGAGAGCAGGGTAATCCAAGGATATGAGTTTCATCGTAGACCAATCCCCCATCCTCATCTAATCCAAGACCATCGCGTTCGCGTTCGCAGCCTCAGCTGCCTCAGCAGCAGCCTTGGCAGCAGCCTCCTCCTTCTCAGCTGCCTTGCGCGCGTTGACCGCCATGAGATGCTTGCGACCGTTCACGCAGGCGGTCCAGACACGCTTCTCGAGTTCCTCCTAGGCGGGATCCATGACGTGGGGGTAGGTCTTGACGGACGGGTCAGGCTTGGGGTCGCTTCTGACGGCGTTGAAGTTGCCTCTGGATTTGAAGCGAAACTCAGGGGCAGCGGCCTCGGCGATGGTCAAGCTGAGAAAGTCCTTAGCGAGGTCCATTTTGGAAAGTGGTGAGGGCTTTTGAAGAGAAAGTTGTGTATCTTGTGGAAGTTGGAATGTGGGAATAGAAAATAGAAGTGTAGTTGGAACTTGGATTGTGGAAATTGAGGTGTGAGGTATGGAAGATGAAAATATGGAAAGACGGAAGGTAGTGATGGAGGGTAGGAGGTAGGTAGTGGGGTCAAGCTTGAGGGTAAGAGGTAAAGTCATAGAATAGACGGATGAAGCGATTGCTTGCTATCAAAGCTGGAGCAGCCACAAAAACACCAATACAAGCTCAGGATCTGAAGTGCTGGGGTGTTTCGAATGGGTCTAGGTGAAGATATAGGAAATGAACCAAAAGTCCATAGCAACATACCTGCGCGCACGGGCAGCACGAGTGAAGGAGGGAATGCTGGCATTGCCCTCAAGCTTGATCTCGACCTGGTGATCAGCGGTGAGGTCAACCGGCTGATCGTTCAGACCAGAGGCAGGAGCGGCGCTCTCCATATTGGCATCAGTGTCGTTGCCGGTAAGATCGATATGCTGGCCGTTCAGACCAGCAGCAAGACCATCGTGAGTGATCTTGACGCGCTTCTTAGAATCCTCCATGTCGGACTCAGAATCATCAACGCCATCGTCAACCGAAAGGGCGAGAGAGGCCATCTCGTTGGCGGCCTGGGCCGCGCCAGAACCACCGGCAATGGAGTTTCTAGCCGCTCTAGTGCCGAAGCCGGGGGCAGCACGCTTGCGGGAAGGAGGAATCGGAGCCGGGGTGGCAGGCATGTCGGCGGTCGCGTTGAGCTGTTCATTGTAAGGCTTGATCAGAGACTTCGAGTAGCGCTGACTGTGAAAGATGATGTGATTAGTTCTGCCAGAAACTGTATGAAGAGATGGTCACTCACCTGAGGGCCGCGACGGTGAAGCTGTGGCCGAGGCGGTTCATGCGGCGAACGACGTTAGCCCAGTCAGGTTTCGTGCCAGCACCGCTGTTGGCAGTGGTAGCGATGGAGATCAAGAGGGCCTTCTCGGCCTCGACGGTCCAAGAGTTACCAGCCATTGTTGCTGATATTGTGATGCTGAATGCAAAGAGGGTCAGTCTCAAGACGCCAAGTCTCTAGGCGAGAATTGAGCGAAGATAATGAGATTCTGAGAGAGGATGAGGAGCCAGTGAGGAAGGTAAGAGAGATGAGTGAAAGAAGTTGCGATGATTGAAGGTGGAAGAGAGTCGTCAAGTAGAGGGAGTGGAAAAGAGCAAGGTTTGAGAGAGATTGTGTTGGCCACTGGGTGGTGTGAAAGTTGGGAGGCGCGGTATGCTTGGGAGGAAGAAACAAACACAGAAACGCGTAGGATTGCGATGATATGATGGGCAAAAAGGGTAGAGTGTGAAATATTCAGCTTTGGTCGTAATGAAGAGAGTTTCGAGACGAGTTGAGACTCGGAAAGTGAGATACATAGCATGAGTAAGAAACCACGTACCTGGTATGCTGTATATAGCGAAGTGTAATGATGTTGATCTTCTATGGGCGAAGATCTCGCTCCCTAATCTAGGAGTTGTGAGAGGCGAGGAGGGTTGAAGAGGAAGAGTTCAGTGGAGGGGGTGGAAGGATGGATTATATATCCTGGGTGAGAGTCAAAATCTTGAAAGGCCGGACAGGTCAAGCAGGAAAGAGCTTTAATAATGGAAGAGCTGGCACTCGCCTCAACTATGGGACGGCACTCGCCTCAAAGGGCAATAGGATAGCACTCGCCTCTAGGGATTGATGGACGGCACTCGCCTCAAGTTGGGACGGTATTCAGACTCAGAGATGGGACGGCACTCGCCCCAAGTATACGAGAGATGGTGGCCGCCTTGAAAGGTGAATAGATAGCACTCGCCTGAGGTGTATGATGGCACTCGTCTCAAAGATTAGTGAAATGATACTCGTCTTAAGAAGTTGGAGATGGCACTCTTCATTAAAGGTGAACAAATGGCCCTCGCTTCAAAGGGCTGCAAGATGGCATCCGTCTGAAGAAGGCACTCATCTCAGTGTGTCGAGGGACGGCACTCGCCTCAAGAGGTGAATGCACAAAACTCGTCTATACTATGAGACAGTATTCACCTCAAGGGTGAGTCGATGGCACTCGCCTTAAGTGGTTACAAGATGGCACTCACTTTGTGAAGTTACTTGAGAGTAGCACCCGCCTCGATACCTTAGGCAGAGGTATGTCACCCGGCTGAAGGATTTCTCACAGAAAAGGTGAAAGGTACGATCTCAGACCTACAAACTCTTGATGGGCATCATGCAGTAGTAGAAGACTTCTACTAAATGAGTGGGAGGCATGGACTTGTGCTCACATTGTGATGCAGGGGAGTAAAAGACTCAAGTAGATGACTGGGGCAGCAAAGACTTTGACAAAGATTATAAGAAAAGGGATTGGAGCTTTACTATAGAAGAGCAAAGAATATGTGGACTTGTAAAAATGACAAGACACAAGAGTCCTAAGCTTCCCCAAAACAAATAGAAAACATGCAGCTAGACACATATTGCAATAAGGTGAGCTTGAACCCAGATGAACGAGAGTGGTAGGGACAGATCTCACTTGTTGCGGTGAAGTGGAGTTCTGATGGAGACAGAAGAGAAATGGGAGGTTGGAGATGTGACCCCGTCGAAGGTGGCTATTCAGTACAAGTGTAGCTCATAACTTCATGACATATTGCTTCTCGCTGGCGCTCGTCTGACCGTTGTGCCGTCTGATGTCTCGTCCCAAGGTACCCCTCTGACAATGTGTATATACTCTTCTTCTGGCCTCATTTTATCACCCAGCCCCTACACAGTTGAGCTGAATCTCACAAATAGAACTGCTAGAATGCCAGCAAACAATATTTTGAAGAAGGAATTAGGATCACCAACAGATGAAATAGTACTAATCTTAAGCAAAATCTTGTGCCGTAAAAGCACTGGTTCTCACCGGAATAAAATCCTGGATGAGCAAGTGATGGACAGGACACTCCCAGGGCCTCCGTAATAGTACGAGAGCATGCGAAATCAAGAAGCAGGAATCGTCATAGGAATCGTCATTGTATGTGTTTAAAAAGATTCTAAAGGGCCCCTCTGCTTTCTTCCGGGAAGCATACATTCTAGGCCAGACCAGTACGCCGTTTGCAGGGTGTGCGTAAATTCATTAGTACATCTGGTAGTCCAATTCGATGCGAGTAGGAGAGTGACCAGCACAAAGAGACAAGAGACATGAGGAAGAACAGAAAAAAAAAAGCCAACGACAGTGGAGAAAAGCCCGAGGTATTTTTTCTTTCCAACCCGGACCCAAAAACGTATAAGATGACCTCCCCCTCAATACCCTTCCCACACACCAGAATTCGCTTGAACCGTTTTTCCAGGTTCGGGATAATTATGGGTGGAAATGGGTGTCCCAGTGCTCGTTCTTGATGTTCATGTGCTCAGGCATGAGAGACCCCAGCGCGGGAGATCCATGCATGTCGTCGGTATGTGCCTGACCGGCCTGGTGATCGCACAAGGAGCCGACGCCGAAGCCGTCGATATCGTAGGCGGCGTCAAAGGCTGAGTAGATTGGACTCGGTGCCCAGGAGTTGTGGTCGTGCTCGTGGTGGTGCTGCTGTTCTGGCTCGTGTGCACAGGCCATGGCCGATGGGAGATCAAAGGTCGGGTGAGCGCCCATGAGACTCGCTGACGGGCTGAACTGCAGGTTGTGAGGTGCCGAGAACATGTCGTCGCTACACGGGGTGAGCATCCTGGGCTGGAAGGTCTGCTGGCATTCCGTGGCGGTGGGAGACGCCATAGATGTTGGTGTAAACTGCTGTCGGTAGGGAGGCTGGCTATGCTCGTGCTTCACCTTGACATGAGACCTGGCACGAGCCTCGGCTTGCTGGAGAGCCTCAAGAGTCCCTGGTTCCGGCTTCACCCTCTTCTCGTCGTCTTGCTCTTCCTTTTTCGGTGGCTTTTGCTCCTTTTTGTTCTTCGTGACCCTGTTCTTGTTTGCGGTGGCTCTGTTACGTTTTTGAGGCTCGAGACCCAGCATCGCCGAGCGGAAACGGGAGTATCTCATGCGAGCAGCATGGCCGTTGGTGATGGGTTGTGATAGTATCGGATCATGAGCGACGGCATTCCAATCAATCTAGGGGTTGAGTAAGTCTCCAGTCAAGGCGATGTGATGTGATGGTAGTAGAGAGCACTTACATCCTTGAGGTTCTTCTGTTTCAAGATGGCGAAGAGAAACCTCGTCATCTGGTTGTCTGTATTGGAGGACATGTTGAGAGTGTTGAAGAGTTGTCTCGCCTTGAGCTGACCAGGCTATGGGAATGGAGGTGAGGTCGATATTGAGGCCAGTGAGCTGGAGGAAAGGGGAGTAATTTGAAGTGCACAGCAATAGAAGCTGAAGCTTTGGCTCAACCCAGTCAACCAGCACACGACAGGCAAGTGTGGAGTTGAAATGAAGGAAATGAGTCACTGTGAAGATTGGTGAGGCAAGGCGAGGCCCAGATATATGGCATCCAAGTCAGCAGGTTGTGATCTGGAAATGGTACAACCACTGAGGGCGAGGCCAGTCACCGGTTGGTGTGGGTGGTCAATGAGGGTGAGGCGGACAAAAGAGGCAGACAAGGAGGATTCGTCAGAAGGCAGCCAGACAACCCCCGGGACATCAACGGTAGTTATAGGTGCTTTGGAGAGGGCCCATGGACCATGGAACTAAAGGGAATGGGCATGCAAGTCGGCTTGATGCTGGTACCGAGACTCGATGGGGCAAGTAGCTGTGGATTACCTTAGGAGCTGGAGTTGGCGCTGGCATCTATACAGTATGAAGAAAAAGAAAGTCGAACGAAGATGCTTTCAGGGAAGACGCCGCGGCGCTTGGGCCGACATTTTATTGAGGTGTAAAAGTGGCAAACCCCTTGGTTGAGACACAAGGAATCAAAATAGTCCCTTGTTGCCTGGAGTTACGGCGGCAGGCTTTGACGGGGACGCATGTCCTTGAGAGAGTGAGAGGAAGAGGAAGAGAAGGGGGGAAGAGGGGGTGTGTGTGACGTTTGTGAGGGGTGTGGAGAGATGATGTGGTGTGGTGGGTGAGGTGTGGTGAGGTGCAGACGCAAGTGCATATACTCTGTACAGCATCCATGGATGGGATGGGATGGTTTGGGTCCAATGGCTTGGAGTTTTTTGATGGCTGCCCTGCTCACGCTCACTCGAGCGCTGATGAAATGGTGGAGGGGAGCTAAGAGGGTCGAGGTGTGTCGCGGCGCGGGGCCGTGTCATTTGCGCGTAAAGTGGTTTGAATTCCCTAGCTTTTTTTGCGCTGTCTTGCTCACCCTTTTTTTTTCCTTTGCCTTCCGGCGTCCGCAGATCCCTACCCTGCATCCATCCGACGTGATGGAGTCGACTTGATTCTTTCCGACGAATGAAGGTTTGAGCGGAAGGCCAAGAATTGCAAGGTATTTCGACTAGCGTGTCCGCCGATATGCGAGCACTAACTGATATCAACCATGTTTGCACACGCAGGCAGAATTGACTCGTCAATTGACACGCAGTTGTTGGGCCTTTTTTTTTTTTCCTTCTGGGGGGAACTTTTTTGGCGGTCGAACGGGCCCCCTCCCACCCCAAATGCAAGATCCAGGAACGCCCAGCGGACCACTTGTAAACGGAACAGGGATCTTAATGGCATGAGACAGGTATGCGGTATGGATGTGTGACTCACTTTTCGAGTACTTTAGTCCAAGGTAGCTTCGGAAATGGAGGGGGTTGGGGCGATTGGCTATGTCCAAGTTGCAGCTCCCAGTTCGCGCACTATTCATTGGCGGCCTTCCCACACCGAGTCGTCAAACAAACTTACGCAGCAGGCGGTCGACAGACACTTGTGACGACGCAGCATGGTGCCTTCTGATACGTACATGGTATACTAAATAGCTTGCGAACACCCAGGTTTGCGCATCTAATGTAGGGGTAAACCTGCTAGTAAGCACAAGGTTGGCGAAGCTTGCAGCGACGGAGTTCTGTTGATGCGGAACACGGCGAACAATGGCAAACAGAGTTTGAGCCTCTTGGCCCGATTTAGTGCCCCCTGGATTCGTGCTCCAGTCAATCATACTGTCGTAATCTCAATCTCGTGTCTGGCTGGGACATCCGTCGGCTGCTGGTGATGCGAGCCGGCGAGGGGAGGGGTCAATCGAGATGGCTGTCCAGTTTGGCAATTGAAGATCGGATTGGTCGTTCAACGAGCAAAAGCACTTATGAGACCAGAGAAAATTGCGATAAAATGAAAAGATGCATTTTAAAGCCATGAGTCGTGTAATTATGTCGTCCAAAGGTCTGTTTGGTGTCGTAGGTGATACGCGATGAAGTTGGTGGGATCGAGTGAAGTGGTTTGGAGACGCGCCTCGCGATTCCGAGGGGGCACTGTGTCCTCGCAATATTTCCACGAAACCACGTGATGTGTCATCTAGACCCACTTTGCGCATCGCCCACGGATCGACCTGCAGTTGCTGCCTGAGGTCTGACAGCGTCCGTTCTCCACACCTACCAAAACCGGCCTGAGATGGTGAGGGGAGAGTAAAGCGGCGATTGCGACAGGGAACCTGGGTGAAGGGGCCTCCCGCGGCTGTTTGGGAGAAGCTTCACAGAGGTAAGCTGCCTTGATTCTTGTTCTCATTGGAGTAAATCGCGCCTTTTTTTTTCCTCTTTTTTTTTTTTTTTCTCACAGAGAGGCCATAGAAGACGTCCGCCTCACGCTGCTCGGTAGTCACAATTGAAGTTGCCTCTTCAGTCATCCGTCAGGGTTGCGCCATCCTCAGTGCGCGGCTTAAGATGCATGCGAGACAGAAAGCATCACCATTGGTTCCCAAGGTTGATCTCCCTTGAACTACGAGTATTCGGAAGGCTACCTTACACCGTCCGGCCATGTCTCGCAATCAGGCATTTGACAGATACGCTATCATTGCCAATCGAGTCGGCTGCAGGCGGGCAGCGGGCCAGATTCGACGTGTCTCACGAATCCATGTAATACCTACTGAACGCACAGCCGTCACGGCACGACTGACCAGGCAGCTCAGGAACACGATTTCCGTGCAGAAAATAACATGTCGAGTCGTATGAAGCAAGGTGTACTCGCTCGAGGTCTCTGGTATGGAGCGTGTGATATTTGTAAGGCACTTGGTTGGAACAGCAGACGCAGGCCAGCGAGAGAATTGAGAACTTGGAAGCTCTAAATCGTCTGCCCAACTGCAACGGAGTACTACGACACTGAGGAGGGCGCCGTCAATTGCCGCTAACCTAACTGCAGGCAGTGCAGGGTGCCACAGCTCGCTTGATGAACGGCTAAACGCCGGGTATCATGCACATGGGGGCCTTTCGGAAGATCCGCCCGCTGTCTTGTAGGCGTCCTCGGCCATGATATCTTTTGATATGTGGCCTCCTCAAACTTGTTCACAATCAGTTGAAAAGAAAAAGGTCCTCTCAGAAATCGCTCCAAAAGAGATTTTCAAAATTCCGTATTTTTTTGTCTGCTTTGGGGCTTCCCAGAGGTGCATGCAAGTCGAGCTCTTGCCCGGCGAAACGTTAAACCGCGCCAGGGAGCCACTCAAAACCCAGCGCCTTGACTTTGCCGTCTCGACCCCCCCAACCACCCTTCGACCCATCGTTCTCTCGAGCTTAGCACACTACCAATTTCTCATCCTCGACCGCAAAGGATAGCCACCATCTCACATCCACTTTCAATCGTATAAGTCACGAATATCAGGATATCATCCACGCGAATCGCCGACATCATCCGTCGCATTCGCCATGAATAAAAATTGGAATGACAGAGCCGACAAGGATCTGTTCTTTACCATCCTGTCCGTGAAGAACATTGGCGTCATCAGCGGTTCGGAATGGACCACCATCGGCAACCACATGCGCACACTGGGTTACGGCTTTACCAATGAAGGCTGTAGGTGAGTTGGCGCGCCTCTCTTTCATGTACATCCTTCCGACCTACGCGCAACTTTCTTCGCAGCGCACGAGGGCGTCGTCATTGCGATTCATTATTTCCAGAGAAATTGCGCGTACCTACGCGCCTTCACTTTTGCGCCGACCATTTTCTAGCCAGCTGCATTTCCCCGCTCTGTATCCTCTCCTAGTCTTCTTAGTGCTCATTCTTCTCTGTTTCGCTCCTGGTCCCTCCAGAATGGACCCTAAATCTATTGTGAAAGATAGAAGACGAAGTCAAGGACTGCCTTCGAAACCCTTTTCGCACTTTTCGTTGGGCCTCGAAACTATCACGTCATCTTTGTTTTGTAAGGTTTCACTGCAAGCAAGTAGATACTCTGTAGCTGGGACGAGTAGACCATCGATTTGCTTCTCCATAGCTTTCTCATCTTCTCATGCCGAACCCGTCTCCTTTGTTCCATTTACATTCAGCAACTAACAGAACACAGACAACACTTTCAGGGCCTTCGTCGTGCCCAGCACAAGAGTGAGACGAATGGAGGAAGCCCTGACAACCCTCGCAAGGTCGATCCAACAACGAACCCAATCACTCGCCGTCCAGGCCCGGGTCGTGGGAGACCCAAGAAGCAACCTCAGCAAGCCGCGCAGATGGCCATCGCCGTCTTGTCTGAGCAAAACGGTGAAGCCAGCCAGCCTGGCCAACTTAATCAACTTGAAACCGATCAAGAAGTTCAAGCTGGCCAACCTCAGCCTGTTATTCAACCCGACCTTCAAAACGATATAACCGATCTTCAGTCCAGTCTTCATCAATCCGATATCGAGACCAGCCTTCAACCCGATCTTCAGCACAGCCACCAGCCCGACCTTCAGCACAGCCACCAACCCGACCTCCATCACGACCACCAGGCTGATCTTCAGCACGACCACCAGCCCGAGCACCAGCCCAGTCACGAGGAGTCTATCCACGATGACCACACCCAATTGGAAGCATCCATCCTGCCTGACAGTCTTATGTCGGAGTCTCTAGACCTTCCCCTTAAAGACGACGCTCTCGACTTGTCTCTCAAGGACGACAACGATGACGAACAAGACGGCCCCGATGCCAAGAGAATCAAGCTCGACAACCCTGTTCATGACCATGACCATGACCATTCTCTCGTCGATGACGAAGCTGTGTTAGCCTTGGCCGCGCACAGCGAACCCCCTTCTGATGGCTACAACTCCGAGTATCCCACGGCCGGCTTGACCGGTTCAGACCCGCACACTTCCTTCTTTGGTCCTGAGACATGAGAATAGTGGCCGACCCGCTTGAAAGCTTTTGAGGCAAAGGCGGCGTCTGAAGCAGTGAATACAATCGAACTCGGCGAATTCGTTGATTTGAATTAAGCGTCAAATCTGCAAACCTGAGCTAGTTGATATCCTTCCTCCCCATCAGTTTTGTTAGGTCAAGGCGTTATGCATCAAAGCGGCAGCGGCATCAGGAGCGAGGTTATGAACACGACGAGGTGCTTGGAGTTTGGACTGATTGGGTTTTTCCATTGTCTGTGATCCTTCGACTTATAAGGACACGTTCTTCGCTGGCACTGATTGAGTATTTAATTGAGATTATTAGGTCTCGAGAACAATGAACTTTTCAGAACTTGCCAGCTCTTTCTATCTGTTATGCATCCCATGGAGATGGTTCTACCTCAGACTCGAGAGCGAACGCTATGTCATCATTCCCTTTGACAAACGCCCACTGCCTTGTAGAACAACCCAGAGTTCGATGATGGACTAAATCACTTCATGTTTGCAAGCCTTCATACGAGCTAAGCTACAATTAAGGTAGGGGCCTGTTACAGGATAGAGACATCTAGAATGATCTCACCCTCTGAGTTCCCCATGCTAGCTTGTTGACTAGGAGACTCTTAACCCCTGAGTTCCCTTCGTCATGAGGCGAGAAGGCTCTAGCCGCATGAGTTCTCCATATCGACTTGTTTGCCTATCAGTACAATGACTCTCGCCCTTCAGGTTTTGTTCAGCAAGCGGAGCAGATGCTATCACTCTTTCAATGAAATTGAACAGTAAGTAAGAAAATCATTGCCCTTTTCGTTCTATCTGCTTCTGAGAGAGGGTGCTCTCGCCCTTTGGGCTTCCTCAAGCAGCAAAAAGGCTCTTGCCTTTCAAGTAGTGTTTACCAGGCGGGAAAGATGCTCCTTCTCTTGGGGTTTGTTCGTCTGAATGTCAGACAGAGGTTTTGGGGTATCTCATGCAGTCAGACGAGGCTGTAATCTGACGACTGGAGTGAGAACCTATACTGCTCTAGGCATTTGGGCAGGTAGTCGGAAGGCTCCCTCCCTTTTGGCTCTGTCGATTGAGGATACTCGCCCTTTGAGTTATTCGTCTTGCGTTCGGACGACTGGTGACTTTGAGAATCAGACATTTATACGAGGATCTGTTCAGACGAGTGAGATTTGATACTACTCTCGGCTGTGTAATAAGTGGTTAGAGGACTCTCGTCCTTCAAACTCTCTTAAGCAACAAGCAAGAATACTCCTGCTCTTTGGATTTCTCGTCTCACGTTCAGACGTTTGGGTCCTTTGAGACGATTCGTACCTTCAGACGTGGATGCGTTCAGACGAGTGAGGTTTGATATTGCTCTAGGCCGTGTAGTCAGATGGCTCTCGCCCTTTAAGTTCTATATACTGGGGGTGCTCTCGCCCTTTGGGTTCCTGGTGCCGGCGTGTGTACCAACTGGCGAGAGGACCTGGCCTCCTTGAGTCTCTATATAATCCCCTTCAGATCCGACCCCGAGAGCAATCTTTCTTCTCTTCTCTACACCTTCGACAATTCTCCTCCCCAACCATCATACAATCATCGTGGTCCCTTTACCAAAACACAATTTCAGAATATCATCTCCAGGGGCTATTCAGCCTTGCTATTTTCAACGCCACCATTAACTTCATCATCATCAATAACAATCAAGATCAACATCGCAAACATGTCTGACAACAAGCAGGGCGGAAAGTGGTCCAACCCGGCCTTTCTCCATAGCCTGGTCGTCGGCTTCTACGGCGAGCTGAAGAACGGCAGTCTCCCACAGGAGGCGAAGGATCGTGTCGAGGCGAAGCTTCGTCGCGATGGCTTCGAGGACACCACCTGGGATAGTGTCCGGTATGTATACGACTTTTGTTTTCCTGTCTAGTTTCTACTGTTAAACGTTTTTGCTGCCTGCCCTTCCTGTCGGTTTTTTTATTCTTTGTTTTTGCAGTCAACCGGGAGCCCGTCTGTTACCTTCGCTGCCTGATCCAGATGGCTCAAGATACCCTTCTCATCCCCTTCTTTACACAATACGCACCCATCTTGTCAGCCCCAACATCTTTCCCCGACACACACTTTTTTCTCCACAATCCACGGATCATTTCCCATCAACCAACTCAATACTACACGAACACAATCATCATGTCTGAGAAGTCTGCTCCCGGCGGCAAGTGGGCCAATCCGGCCCTCCTCGAGGCTCTGGCTATGGGATTCCATACCGTTGCCAAGGGTGAAGGCCTTACGAAGGAAGCCAAGGACGCCGTCATCCTGAAGATCCATGCATATGGCTTCACGGATATCACCTGGGAAGCTGTCCGGTGTGTATCCTCCTTCCCTCTTTTCCCACTCTGGCGACTGCTTCTTCCCTCGCCCTGCGCTTCCTATTTACCTCTGACCTTTTCCTCTTGCGTCTCTTTCTTCTTGCCTCTTTCATCTCTCATACTCAATCCAATTCATATCAGCTACATCAACTGTTTATTCACCCTCTTCCATATCATCATCACGTCAAGTACCTTCCATTTCTCTTACAGCACTTTGGAATATGTCTCGCTCAATGATTCGGTGGACGGCTGAGATCGACCAGCAGATCCTGGTCGCTATGGTCAAGACGATGGTTCCATCCACTGATCAGTACTCACTCGTCATTGACGAGCTTCATGCCCTGGGTCACACAATGACCGTTTCTGCCTTGAAGTGCGCCTTCCCCTTTTTTCTTCGGCCTTTCCCACTTCTGTCTCTCCAGCACACTCCTTCCTGCCACGTCCCACATATACCTACATACCTACTCCCAGATCAAGCGGTCTCACAAATTTCTTTCTTCCTTCCACTCTCATCTTCACTCTCATCTTCACTCCAGCCACTACCACTCATCTATTTCATTATCACCTGCTTTACATTGCGATTTTCATACCACCACCAATCAAGATGGCTCCAGTCACCGTTTGGAACGATGAGGCCCGATCCGACCTCTTGGTTGCGCTTCTGTCGGTCATCAAGCCCTCTAAGGAGGACTGGGACCGCGTTCTTCCTATAGTCCATGCCAAGGGCTATGTATATAACTCCAATGCTGTCACGTATTTTCTGCCCGCTTTTCATATGCGCTTTCTCTCGTCTCGCTATTTTCTTTCCGAACTTTTTTATACTTTTGTTTTTGTCTCAAGAACCTTCAGGTCTGCTCTAGATGATAACAAGTCTCTCCAGGCAGCATATCCAGAAGCTCCAGCGCAAGGAGCTTCCCGCCGGCGACGGCGGTGAGGGCGAGGCATCTGCCTCCGCCACTCCCAAGAAGGCTGGCAAGAAGGCTGCTACCCCCAAGAAGTCCGGTACCCCCGCTACCCCCAGAAAGCGCAAGACTCCCGCCAAGTCCAAGGCCAAGGTCGAGGAGGCGGATGAGGAGGACGAGGAAGACGAGCAGGAGGCTCCTCCCCCCAAGAAGCCGTGCACTCCTTCCCGCCCCAGGTAAGCTAGACCGAAATCTATTTGGACCAAGTCCATCTCACTAATCACATCTACCACACAGTATGAAGGACGAAGTCCACGAGGACACCAAGACCACCGGCGCCAAGTTCGTCCCCGTCAACGAGGAGATCTAGGTGCATTCTTCGACCCTCAACACTATCGATTCAATCACATCAACATGGCATTTCTGAAACGGTTCTCTGGCTTTTCTGGAGCATGATATGCGAGGGTTGGATGAATGATACGTGGGGGGGTTGGCAGCATTGGATCTTGATTTGAAGATCATTGGAAGTGGCACAGGACTGGAGGTTATCACCTCATTGCGCAATGCATTTCGAGACAGGTCATGAGATACCTGCGGATACGGAAAAGTTACACTGAAAATTGAGAAGACCATTTTGCTTCCTCAAACTGCTTCTCCTTAAAGTCCTGGTTGTCGCACGCCTCCTACTCACTTGGGTTCTAATCACTTGATGGCTCATGTATAGCCTTCTTCTCACGGACGACAGAGATCTTTCCTCAAGATTTTTCCCAAAGGTAGGCAACTACCGACGTACCGAGTGCCTCAGACACAGCCTCAACTAGCCGGCTAGTCAGGTGAACTGATCCTGAAGTCAACCTGGGGAACTGGAGGTAGCGTTGCAATAAAACGAGAAAAACCATGACATGTGGCTGGCTGTCTGCCTCAGACTCACACCTCAGAGTGTTGGGTTCTTAGCTGAAGTAGTGCGAAATAGATTGAGAATGGGAGGGCCATCAGGTTCTTATCGATTACTTTTGCCATTAGCTGGGCTCAAGAGCTTGATTAGGTTCTTCGATTAGCTGTCATGCACATACTGAAGGGTTTGAGAACTGTGTCTGCCCACTTTGTCCGCAAAAAGTCCTTCGCTGACTTGTTTGTACATCAGTAGCCGCGGCTAGTATTCTCTAGGCCAAGATTTGAATTCCCGAGGTATTGCGTTGATGACCTGCGTGGAAAAAAAGAAGACAAGGACTTCGTCCAGCACTCAGCTCTTGACAATGAAGATATTATGACGCTTCTAGGCGACAACACCGAGATATCAGGTGCTTTTCCGGTATACTACACATATCAAAAGTTACACGATCTGTTGAAGTCTCGTTTCTCTGCATCTCAAAGCTTTTTGCCCACATTGACGGTGATGTCTTTCCGGGCGCTGACTCGCCTCTTGATACTTGCCAACAAAATTCCAACATATGATGGAGAGTGCTACGACTAGCACGACGAATTGGACCGAACGACGTGACCTTCTTTGACTTTGACGGAGATTTACGTGGGAGATCCCCAGGCCAACGCCTCTCCTGCCTCAGGACTTGGCCCGGAGCAAGCGAACCCAAGAAGTTTAGGGAGGAATGGGGTTGTGACTAGATTGCCTCGTGAGCTCCTTATCTCATCTCCCCAACATCCCCCGGATGCGCAAGATACGATTACCTCTGCGGCGCCCAAGATCATTCAAAGGTTGTAAGTCACAATAAATAAAGGATCAACAGGCAGTCCCCCCAAACAACATGTTCAACAACATCTATTCCATCAAACCCAAACGAGTCCCCCATTTTGTTCCGCGCCTGTCGTCAATTTAAGCCCAAAGCCGTTTGAAACGGTGGTGAGCGAAGGGGAAAGTGTCTAAGACCCGCCCCCGGGCCCCGCATACCCCCGGGCGGAGATCACTGTGGAGACTTCGGTAGTCGGGCGCAACGGGCCGGGACCAAGGCTTGTGTACCGTACCGGCATTGACATAAGAGCGGTCGGTGTATGCACCTACCACTTGCATGAGAAGATCTGGCTCAATTGAATGGAAATCTCAAAGGGGTTGTTATTGCCAAGCGCAGGAGCCCGTTCACCGATAACATCAGTATTAGAACTTTACTACTATGAACCCTGGTTGAATTTAGTTGAGTGGGTTAGTAGATCCAAGGGAGAGAAAACGAATCTCAACACATGGCAAAGCGTCAATCAATCAACTACCTTACCTTATTTAGCGAGCTAGCTGACCGACCGTGAATACGAGACACAAAAATGCACAGCCAGAGCACAGCGCAGTACAGCACACAGCACAGCAATATCGAACACCACTCTCCTGCCTCGCTGGCTTCGCTGGCTCTGCATACGCGCGCTGCACCCAAGGTGCCGATTACAACCTCACCGACATCGCAGACCGTCCCCCTCAATCCAACCTCACCCCCCTCAAAGGAAACGTTTCCCCCCTCATGGAAATGCTTCCAGAAAAAAAAAAAAGGTAAGAGTGAGACATTGGGATACCACGTCAACGTACACTAGGTAGGTCCGCCGCTCTCGGAAAAGAGTCTCCCCCAGCCATCATAGGAAGAAAACCCACGACCGCTTCTCTTCCAAGACATGGGAATTCTGCCCCATGCCAACGTGCCTAGCCCAGCCCCCCACGAAACACTTACCTACTCCTGCATCAACCAAGGCACAGAAAACCACGTGCTCGACAACGGCATCCTACGAAAAACAATAGACCGAAAGAAAGAAAAAAGCAATAAGCAATTAAAGATCTCCTATCATCGTGGCACAAATCATCGCACACGAATAATCCTCTCTCTACCTACCTGCTATTTTGCCTCCCCCCCAACCGCCGCTCGGCGAACAAAAGGTCCCTCCTATCCCCCTCGTCGTATGTTGCACGAGGGCACATGACCGCGCTCCATGCATCAGCTTCGCTTACAACGCTCACCGCCGCCGTTCGCTGCTCAAGTGCTCGCAGCTGAGCGCTTGCTCGCCCAGCGAGACGGTCCTCTCAGCTTTTCCATGTGTTCACCGGGCTTGTTTTTTTGCCTCCATCGTAGATCTACAGGTCCATCGTCTACGAGGTTTTTTTACTCGCCTCGAGTAACCAGCCCTATTCCTCCCCCCAGCCACCTGATTTTTGTTTGGTACCTTACCTTACCGCCGGTAAAATAAAAAAAACTCAACAAACAAGGCACGTAACCGCAGCCGCTTCAGGGAAAGCCCTAGAATGATTCCGCCGAGACAAGCATACATACCTCAGTAAATACGAGCAGGAAGAAAATCGAGTAAACCGGACTCTCACACTTGTGTAAGTGAAAAAAAAGCTCTCCCAATTTCCAACGCCACCAACAGCCGCCAGCCAAATGCTTACGTTGGGTCTCCATCACATCGATAGACCACGGGCACTCCGTCCCCCATCTATCCGCCCCCCGGTCCGCATCCCGCCACACCTCTCCATCGTTACACCTCTTCAACCAACCCGTGCATCCCTTCCGCGTCGCCCCGCGCGTGCGAGTGCTAGCTAGCCTAGCGTGCCCGTCATCTGCGGACGTTTGCTCATGGCTCGTGCCGGCCGTAAACGGCGGGAGGACGATGGCGGATGAGGGAGCTTGGATGGACGGACGGGGGTGGACCAACGGGGCACCATGTCGAATCACAGATAGCGCCATCCGAATCACACGCGCCTAGGCCACATGCGGGTTGTAGGGCGGCACGGCGGTTGGGTCCAGGGGTCCAACAGCTTTTTTGTCTCTTCTCTTTAGAGAAGATGGGATTTCTAGCAGACTGGCAGTCCGACGCACGGCCGGTCATCATGCCGGGTTACCCTTCATCCTTTTGACGTGCTGCAATTGACTTCCAGATGTCAAGATGGAGCGCACGCCATCAGATCTTAGAGCATTGTCGGTCACCGTGGCGGCGTGTTGGACGAGGTGAGTAAAGCGTGGGTACGAACAGATGTGATGGGACAAGGATATTCTCGGCGGTGATGATCTCTGCAGATGTAAGTGCTGCAGTAGACGTGATCGGATGGTTGACTGGGGAGATGCCGGGATTTCATTCATGTCTATGCCCCCCTGCCCGTTGCCCAAAGAATGCTGTTCGTGCTTGATAAGATGCTGCGAATCTGCCTCTTTTCGCGTTTTTGGGCGGTTGAAAGAGTCAGTTCACCTGGTTTCCCCGCCCGCCCAGAGGGATGACAGGACAGGGGTAAGCGAGCTCTTTCACGGCGCAGGTTCCGTGATGCCACGAGGTGGTGTGTTACTCATCTGCTGAGACATGTCAAATTCTCCAATGGAAACTCGAATATGAGCTTCTCAACTTCTCTTGGTGATAGTCGAGCAGGCAACCCTCATCATTTTTGAGAGCAAAGACCCAATCCTCGGCCGCATTCACTCATCGTCACGGGACGCGGAACTCCCGAAAGATTCGAATTGGTGACCTGCGTTAGATACAAGTCGGGAAGGTGTCGTTGTCCTGCGATTTGGGGGGGGGGGGGGTTAATCCCGCATGGCCTCCTCTCGGTGGGGAGATATTTGAATGGAGGATTCGCATGTCAAAAAGGGCGTTTTGGGAGCCACTTATCGACGATTCTGTACCCGTCATGCGGTATGCGAGGGACAGCTGACTGCCAATAAGGACGTCAAAGTGGCACAGCAGCCTCTCATTCGTTGCACAGCACTTTGTGGTCCCCCAGCCTGTATAGAAAACTGAGGGTAAACTGCGGTTTGCGCGGCGTGGCTAAAACTTCCATCGTTATGGATCCTACTGTGATCCCGAGAAGCGCGGTGTCCAAGTGTTTAATGTCGTGAGATTCGAAAGCATCTGAGAATGACGTTTTCTCGTGGTTGCCGTTGCCGCTGCCGCTAGGGTGACGGCTGCTCGCTTCAGGCCGCTCAAGCCGGTCATGCATTTGCACATCTTGCGCCGGCGACCGCACGAGACGCAAACGCTGTGATTCCACCACGACGCTATTAGAACAGTAGTGAAAGTCGATCGCAATACTATTGAAATATTATACGGCATAGGTAGGGCGGCCAGCTCGGCTCGCCCTCCATGCCACTCGGCCGCTTCCTGGAATGTGAGATCCTGACGTTGATCTGAGCGATCGAATGTAAGATGGAGCAGCAATACGTGGGGCGACAGTTGCCAAGCATCCATGCCCCCCCCAGCAACAACCTCGAAATCATTGTAATGTGGATGGTCAACGTGATCCATCACGAAATGATATGTGATGAGAGCTTCGAGTCAGTCAAGTCCGTCCGACAACATGGGAAGCTATTGCGGTATTTGATATAGACATCCTTCGTCGGCTATAAAACTAAACACAAGTGTTAGCACGTTGACCAGGCTGATTTGGCCTTTCGT